GTGCAGAAGCAGCATGTAAGTGAAAATAAAGGCTGTCCTGGGGCTAACCACTGAGTTGCCTGGTGGAGTTCAGACTGGTTATATTAGCCCACGTTGCCTGGTTTTTACATATTGGTGGGTATTAGCATATCAATTCTGCTCTGCTTTTAGCTGTAGTCTCACCCTCAGTCATCTCGGGGATAAAATTTCAGAGACAGAAAAAGAAGATGATGAGGTTAAAGTAAATTGTTGGGAAATTGAAGTCTAAAGTGGAAATAAATGAGAAATAAAACCCTTTTTAAAAGTGGAGGGAAGTATTTTCTTGCTATTTTTCATCTCCCTGGCTTGAGTGAGTGTGTGTCATGAGGCTGCAGAGATTTATATTCACAGTTTCTAAGCACTGGTGCTTGTTCAGAAGCTGTATTATTCTAGCCCTTTTTATTCACTCACCTTCTAAAGATGTAGTGTAAATATTTATCTTCTCTCCAGCCTATCCATGCTGCCCAGGACCCAGTGCTGTTAAACACTCTTATCACCTCATAGGTCTTATCTCCTGAGATCCCTGCCAACATTTGGAGGCTGTCAGTGGGAACCACCTTAAGAGGTGCCACAGATGAACAGAAAGAAGAGGTGATGCAGGGAACTTTAAAATAAAGAGTGGGATCTGGTTTTATAGCTTGTGCAGCATTTCAGCAGGGCTCAGCCAAGCCAGCTCCTTGTGTTAGGTTAAGCAGGGTTCAGAAATTCCCAAGGAATGAACATGGGATGGCAACACGGATATAATCCTATCACTTATAAGACAAAATTGACGTGCAGCAGCCATAGTACCACTTAAGGGATAAGACAGTTGGTCCATCTGCACTTGGTCCATCTTCTCTCATTTCTCTTGCTTAAATTTCTCAGGAGCAGAACAAAATCCTGTTATCCAATAAGTTACCCACTGGTAGTTGGATTTTCATTGAGTGACATCTGTCACAGGCCACAGACATAGGAGTTATGGGTGATTTTGTAGCATCTTTGTTTTGATGGGTTTGTTAGACGTGGACAATTGGTTTTAGTTTTGAAGCCTGTGGAAATGCTCTCATCTCTCTTGAAGGCCGTGCAACTCAGCTGTCCTCCTGCTGTGGCCAGATGTGCCAGGAGGCTGTAAAAGGCCCCAGGGATGACACATGGCAGTAGGAAGCAAGAGGAGAGCTTGGAATTGACCTGTTGCTGGTTGAGAACTCACATGTGCAGGACTGAACACTCTCATGTTTGAGTGTGTAATGGTCTGTTCTTCCTTTCTGGTCTTCTGGCTGCTTATATGGATCTGCCACCTCCACAAGCTCCTCCTTTTTATAGACAGACCATTGCTAAAAGGGCTGTGGGACAGGTACCTACCAGGGCCTTGCAAGTGGAAAGCAAAGCTGTAAAGAGGCACTGCCTATCATTGCTTTGTACCTGGCATTTTCCCCCTTTTGTATTCACTGAATCAGAGCACCCATTGCCTTCTTTTTAACCTGTTGCATCAACACTGTTCCAGCTAATGCATGATGGTGAAAAGGCATTTCTCAGAGGCATTCTGGCATAGAGCAGAGCTTGACATTGGCCCTGGAGATGCCCATCTCTTCTTCTGCATTCCCTGACATCAGCTCCCCTTCTTAATGCCTTCTGTCATGTTACAGAAGCTTATATTGGGCCAAAAAAACCCCACCCAACTTAATTTCTTTTAACATCTTAGCACAAACAATTATAACACATTGTGATTTCCTAATGTTCCATAGGCCCAGTTTGGAAATACCTGGTTACACTATTCAGGTTTCTACATTAAAGGGTTGGTTTCAGTGAATATCAATAGACTCTGGATCTTGTACTTGCAGCTCTGTGTGATTTACATTGGTGCAATCTGAAAGCTAAATTGGAGAGGGAAGAAATAAACATTCATGACAAACAGCCCCCTCCAACAAGCCCCTTGTACAAAACAAACCAACAAGAGTCCTGATTGATTTCAATAGAGCAAAATTAGCTGCTCCTGCCTGAAAGCAAGATGAGCAAAATGGCCCATCTGATGGATGGTGTCCAGTGGTGTCCAGTGATAGGGCAAGGGTCACAAACTGGAGCACAGAAGATTTGACCTAAACATGAGGAAGAAATTATTTACTGTGAGGGTGACAGAGCACTGGAACACACCTGCCCAGAGAGACTGTGCAGTCTCCTTCTCTGGAGACAGTCAAAACCCACCCTGACGTGTTCCTGTGTGACCTAC